AAATTAATGTAACAATTGAAGAATGCAATTTAACATTAAATATCTAGTTGCTCTTTAATAAGTCACTGGCTTTTGACATCTGACAAGTCTCTGTTATTCACATCTGTTCGCTGTGATCTACTCGTATTTTTCATTATTTAGTTTTTACAATCTTGTTAATAATGGTGAATTATTCAAATGCAGAAATGGCGGAAATGCATTTCGTATATGGCCTTGCCGACGGTAATGGTGAGCAAGCCAGACGGATTTATCACCAGAGATGTCCCGATCGTGCTTTGCCAGATAGTCGAACCTTTTCTAATATTCATCGTCGTCTTGTTGAAACTGGTTCTGTCTGAAAAGGAACATCTGAAGGTAGACCTCTAATTGTGAGAACACCTGAAATTGAGGAAGCAGTGCTGCACGAAGTCGAAGAACATCCTGAAACGAGTACGAGGAAGATCGCTAGACGCTTAAGTATTTGCCATCAAATTGCTTGGAGAGTTTTAGTGGATTTTTTGTTATATCCTTACCATGTTTTAAGAGCACAGGCATTATTTCCTATTGATTTTTCAAGTTGTGTGACCTTTTGTCAGTGGTATCTTCGAAAAATTACATAAAATCCGCAATTTGAATCAATGATTCTGTTCGCGGACGAAGCTAATTTTTCTCGAAATGCCATTCAGAATTTCCACAATAATCATTTGTGGACAGAAGAAAATCCCTATGCCGTAACCGAAACCCATTTCCAACACCAAGTTCCGGTTAACTTATGGGCAGGAATTATTGGCAACCTCTTTATTGGCCCATTCTTCTTGACGGACGGACTTACCTCAATTTTATTCAACAACAGTTGCCTTTGCTGCTTGATGATGTTCCGTTAGTAATAAGAAACAATATGTGGTACATGCATAATGGTGCACCAGCGCATTTCAGTGTAGCGGTTCGTAATTATTTACTAACTGTTTATCCAAATCGTTGGATTGGCCGCGGTGGGCCCCAAGAATGGTCACCAATCTCCCCAGACCTCAACAGTTTAGGTTTATTTTTGTGGGGCTATCTTAAGACACTAGTATACACAAGTCCCATTAACACTGTAGAGGAACTGAGTGAAAGAATGGTTGCAGCGTGTGATAGAATACAAAACACTCCAGGGATATTTCAAGGAATGCGCAATTCCATGAGAAGGAGGGCGGAAGCAAGCATACTAAGTGAAGTGAGCCATTTTCAACAATTTTTGTAATCATTTCGTTGATTTTAATGCTATGTTTATGTTGTCAGTTGTTGTTGTTGTTTACCCCTAATGTGTTTAATTTTTCCAATTAAATTAATAATAATTTTGCAAGTTAGACAATAGAACGGTTTTTATTTTTTTACTCAAAAACGGCACATCGAAGGGAAACAATTCAGGAGAGACCATTTGTTTTAAATTGAACTGGAAATTCAAAAATAATTTTTATTTTGAAAAAAACCACTGCCGTACCATTTTATTCCTAAAAAATATCGAAGTCAATACCCGTACGCACGCCACTGTTAAAGCTAAAAGTTATTTTTGCATTGAAAAATATGCAGCTTTATTAACTTTCACTATGTACTAAATATCAGTGAAATATCTGAAGCGGTTCTGAAAAAATTAATTAATTTCCATTTTTTCCTAAAACTTCAACACCCCGAGTTTTTGTAAGGAAACATTTTTGATCCATATTTTATGTAGATTCACACCCTTAAATATTCGCATATCATTAAGGAACACCCTGTATATTTATGTGTGAACATTACATGATATAAATATATATTCTTTTTTTCTATTATCTATTAGTCTTGTTCATAGTTTCTTTTCGGTTTTTAGAGCGCAGTTCTCCCTTTGTGTTTTTTGTTTCAGTTTATGGCATACAGACTGTGTAAATTAAACCATTGTACTATGTATTGCTCTCTAATTGGTATTTATACTGTTGGGCAATAAATGAGTTATTATCATTATTATGATTATTATTATTATTATTATTATTTCATCTCGGATATTTTTTTGGACTTATGAATATAGCATTTGGTTGGCTATCTTCAGGTAGAATAGTTCAATCAATGGTGCAACGTAGAAAGGTAACTGCAGCTTGAGGACAAAAAACAAATAATGGTGTACGTATAACAATTTTAAATCCCAACTTTTCTCATTTACGGCTTTTTGTTTTATTCGAAAACAGTATCTGCTGTACATTGGGAACATGTCTATCATACTGACACCAGCAGCCAGTTGCAAAACCTTGTTTATATTTTAGCATTGTTTAGCAGATACATTTTAGCTGATTTAATTTGGATTTCAGAATACAGCGTGTTTTTATATCGGTGTTTCGTTATGCAGCGCGAATTATCCGCTTTTTTGCTTTATGCCCACGTTGAGGCCAAATAATTAATTGATATAATGGTTAATGAATTTTAAATAAGCATGTGCCTCCACCATATTTCCAAAAATAGTTACATCCACCATAATTAATGTACAGAGCCTTTGGTAAAACTATCTGTGACAATACAAGTACACACATCTCAGTAACACTCGAGGCCGATATCCAGTTGTAATGGGTGATTTTTTTGCTAGTATCTTTTTGGCAACACTGTTTTTGACAGATGACTCGTGAATCGTGTCTTGTGTCATTGTCAAACTTGTTCAGTTTGGTCTATAATTTAACCATGAATCGACTTACGAAGGAACAACGCTTGCAAATTATTGAATTTTACTATCAAAATTCATGCTCGGTTAAGAGAGTGCATCGAGCACTGCTTGTGACTAAATTTCGAACCCAGTTTACATTATTGGACATTAAACCACCAACACGCAGACGTAGAGTGAGGACTGAAGAAAATATTGCGGCTGTATCCGCCAGTGTTAGTGATGACCGTGAAATGTCGATTCGCCGCCGTTCGCAGCAATTGGGCCTCTGTTACTCCACTACGTGGAAAATTTTGCGACAGAATTCGGGTGTAAAACCTTATAAGACACAGCTGGTGCAAGAATTGAAGCCACACGACCTCCCACAACGTTTCCAATTTGGTGAATGGGCGCTGGCAAACTTGGAGAAAGATCCACATTTTTATCGAAAAATTGTGTTCAGCGACGAAGCTGATTTCTGGTTGAATGGGTACGTTAACAAACAAAATTGCCGCATCTGGAGTAAAGACCGGCCAGAAGCATTGCAAGAGCTACCAATGCATCCCGAAAAAATTACTGTTTGGTGTGGATTATAGGCCGGTGGCATCATCGGGCCGTACTTCTTCAAAGACGACAATGGCCGGAACGTAACTGTGAATGGCGAGCGCTACCGTGCGATGATAACAAACTTTTTTTTGCCTAAAATGAAAGAGCTGGACTTGGCTGACATGTGGTTTCAACAAGACAGTGCCACATGCCACACCGCACACGAAACAATGGCCCTATTGAGAGGCGAGTTCGGTGAACAGTTTATCTCACGTTTGGGGCCCGTCAATTGGCCGCCTAGATCGTGTGATTTAACGCCGTTGGACTATTTCTTGTGGGTCCATGTTGAGGCTAATGTCTGCAGGGATAAACCAGCAACGATTGACTCACTGGAAGCCAATATTGAAGCATTTATTCGTGATGTAACGGTTTCACCGTCCGATCGTATTTATTAAATCACTTCTCGATTATCATTTCATTAATCCCATCTCTAGCTTTTTTACTTGGAAAAATTTCCGCTTGGAGGGCGCTTGATGCGGAGTTCCTGATCTGCGATCTTCCTCACGCTTCCTTTTCACTTGAACCGCCGATCTAGCAAGAGCTAAGAATTTTCTTCTCTGTAGCACAAGGCCATATAGCACCATGTGCTAGAATTTTGTAGAATGTGTGTCCGAATAGGAAAAAATGATTGGGGCCACCCCCTTTCTCTTTCTCTTTCCATTTCCCTTTGCTTTTGTCTTTGACTTTGCTTTTGCCTTTGTCTTTGACTTTGCATTGCTTGGCCTATCACTTCACACATGCATGTGCCTTGGCAACGCCATCACCTTTAAGTTCAACTTCGCCTACATCTAGTTCTGAAGCCACTAAATGTGAGGTCACCCCTCATAACTGGGACCTCCACTTCAAGCACCTGGCCATCCTCGCTTCAGTCCGATCAAAAATGGACCAGCGAAAGATAAGTTGATAGTTTTATAGCAGCGCCAAAGATTTAAAACTTATTTTGTTCTTTAAAACTTTAAAATTGTAATGTAATGAAAATGCTTTTTTGTTAAATAAAATCTGTTAAATTTTTGTGTTCTGTTTGTTCTTCTATCCTCTAGCCATGCCATGGTCGACACACAGCTACACGCCTGTAGATGTCTTCATGCCACCGACTGAGCTACCGGAAGCTAATGCTAACCCCCTTTCTGTGATTGTGCAGAAAAGTTGGAATCTTCATTGCATTCCATCTTTTCTGGACTTTTTGCGGAAAGGAAGCGTTACAGTGAGATACCGGCCGATATGTTGGAGAGAGTGTGCCAAAATTGGACCTTGCTAATGGGCCATCTAAAGCGGAGCCGCGGCCAACATTTACATGAAATAATCTTTAAACATTAAATTATATCGACCGTTCTATCGACTCAAATAAAGATTTAATCGTATTTTCAAATTTTTTGTGTTTTTTTTATAATCACATCCTATACCTCTTAAAAAATCACCCGTTATAAGCAGTCTCCCTGGTGGAAGGACCTAACCACTAGCACTGGAACAAAATATCTCACCGCTCAGATTCCTCTTGATCTCGAAAATCCTTGGATCTCCTTAAATTTCTCTAGATTGTACTTCCCACGCTACCGGCGAGGAAATATAGTAAATGCTAACCATGTCACTCATTACAGTCAGTCTGTCGGTCTGTCCGTCCTCTAATCATTGTTCGTGTATGACTTGGAAAGTACGGCTCGAATTTTGATGAAATTGTGTACAAAACATAATAAATGAAGCTTAAATAATTTCGTTAGTCGTTAATTTATAGCTACAAATTTAATTCTAATCCTCATATTTTTTGTTACAGAGTCGCTGATATTAAAACCATAGTTAGCCAATTATACGAAGCATTGCACATACAAGAACATGAAGTATCCAAAGAAAAGGAACTTGTGATGCACTTAGAACAAATACAACAAGAACTCTTACCTCTAGAACAGGTAATTGGCTGTTGATGCTTTTTATCGCTTTCTTACGTAGGGTTTGTATGGTATATTCTGAATGCTATATTCTTTGAAATATGATACAAAATCGGATATGCTGTCGAAAGAACAATAGTTGTGATACGTATCAGATTTGTATAAACGAATTGCTTTGAAATATTGCCATTTAAAACTTTCGATCTATTATTAAAAATGTTTGCATGGTTAATAAACTGCGGGTTTATTCTATCACGTCACGGCATGATAACTAGGTTCCTACCACCAAACGTTACGTCGTGCATAGAGCGTTCAACGCGTTCTATTTTGTTTCATTTCTTTCTACAGTTTATCCATTTTACTGTTTTCACATAATGCTCCTGATATCGCAGTGTTTACTCCCCAACTGATATCGGTTTGCATTCTTGCTTTCCCATCCATATGCATGAATATTTTTTGTTATGGAATTATGTATATTGGATGGATTTTTCTATACAATTTTCGTGTGGGCAGTTGTGAGGCTATTTTTCCATAAATACAGAGAAATGGGGGAGATGTTTCTGAAGTCCCTTTAGCATCGCCGCTTTGACTGCTTTTAGCATTAAAGTTCTACATCCTCACTGACGTCATCTCTACAGATTGACAGTGACGTATGTATTGGCCATTATGAAGTGTATGAAATTCAATTTTGCGTTAGCGATTCTAAGTGCTACGTTACCTCGGCGTTTTGAATTGAACCATTTTTTATACTAAAACAAAAGCGTAGGCAGAAGACTAAATACCGTGAGAGAGACTTTGTTAATCCGATTTTTGAACTTACTGAGAATAGTAGAACTGGGAAAAGCCTCCTTAGACTGATTATCCCACAATCTCGGCACCCTATGGACAAATGAGCGGTCTTACTGACCAGTTCTGGATGCACGACTTGGTTAGAATGATATGCCGAAGTCAGGCTCATCGCGGGGCGGGAAAGGATTCCGAGACCATTGTCAAACTACTTGAATATATTGACGACTTGATTGTATAGAAGCAAAAAATCATTCGTAATTTTGAGCGATATTATATATGCCCTCGTAATTTTAAACTTTATAAAGATATAAAAAACTTGGTCACGGTTCATAATACTTTGTCTCTCAAGTCACCCAAATTTATGTCCTATCCAAAGTACACATCTCGTTTACATAAATACTACGTTACAGTTAAGTGAGCTCGTAGCTTCCACCAAGTCGAGAAGCATTAAAACTGACAATAAAATATAAGCATCAGGGCGAAGGTAGAATCCATCTTCCGTTAATTAACATGTTTAAAGGCATACAATATTGCTTAAGCTTTTAATAATATTTGCTAATAAAAATGGTTTTAAAATTCCACAATGAAACTAGCAAACTTCCTAAGCTGTTTGTTTTCCAAGAAATTAAAGGTGCCTAACGTTAAGGATGAAAGCAGGTATGGAAGGACTAAATCCCTACTTTTAGACATTATTTCCAATAGTTTCTATCATCCTTCGGATTGTATAGGTCGTGGTAAATATAACTATTCGCAGGGGGCCTCCAAAAGCTAGATGCTTATATGCATTGTGTTGGATTTAAATTCTGTTTATGATAATCAAAATTTTACCGTAGCTACAGGTTGCGCCATCTAGCCATCACATATACTACTACAACTTTTATTCATAAAAGGATTTTCCTGTGTCTAATGGTCACTAACTGCAGCGGAGAGCGGTCTTTTTCAAAGTTGAAGAGAACAAAAAATCAATCAAGAACATCCATTTCACAAGAACGCCTCACCAGTTTGTCTCTTATATCTATCGGGAGTGACATTTTGGAGTTTGACGACATCATTGAAGATTTTGCCCAAATGAAATCGCGGAAAAAGCCCACAATATTGTTGTACGGCAACTTGTAACTCAATGAATATGTTTTATTAGAAGTACGCCTAACAATTAAATCGGTTTTCTACTACTTAGTTACTTACTTTCCTTCCCACGCCTACTGACGGGAAGTATTGTAAACGCGAAAATTTTAGAAAACGAGATATGTTTTGGATGTTAGATGACATGAATATCACGAAAAACCATGTCACTCATTTTCGTCGCTCTGTCTGTCTGTCAGTCTGTCCGCATAATCTTATAACTGCGTATAATTTGAGAAGTACATCTAAGATTTTGATGAAATTTTTACACAATGTTACCACGACAAAGCCTTGTAGCAATTGATAATCGGTGCAGGTGTTTATGGAGGGTATATCTCAATTTTTTTGACGTTGGTATATTTATTCTCCTCCAAGATTAGTCTACGTACATATTAAGGATATTTTCACACATCATCATAGATGTCCCCGTACATTTACCCTTAAAACTTAAAATATCTCATACAGCGACAGACTAAGGATAAGACTTATACTATACTAAGTGACATATAAATCCGAACACCCAGTTTAAATGGTTTTATTTTAATAAAAGTTGGTGAATGTATTTATCTTACTGTAAATAACAAGTGAAAAAATTTTCAGCCTTATCAGTTGGACATTCCGGTTTTTATACTGCTTTTTTTTAATTCACTAACGCTCTAAAAATGAATATTTCAGCCGCAGTAAAGAATCAACGTTGGCGGATTTTGGTTCTTGACATCCTTTACGATCGGTTACGATGCCTAGAGTACGGAGACCTGTACGATTTGGTCAACTTAGTGAGTTTGATAGGGGCCGTATGGTGGGACTTCGGGAAGCTGGACTTTCTTTTCGGGCAATTGCAGTTAGAGTGCAAAGAAGTGTAGACACTGTGGTTAGGTGTTGTCAGGCATGGCTTCGAGAAGGCCGTACGCAAAGAGCAAGAGGCACTGGACGCCGCCGTAGAACAACAGACCGTGAAGATCGCCGCCTAAGATTATTGGCCTTAAGGGACCGTTTCGCCACTACCAGGTCCATTGCAAATGAATGGTTTGCAGAACACGGAAGACCTATTGGCATGCGAAGTGTTTACCGACGAATGAGAAGTTTTGGCTTGTTTTCATACCGGCCACACTGGGTCCTCCCTTTAACTCGAGAACACCAACGTAATCGCCTTGAGTGGTGCAGACAACGGTCACTCTGGGATCAGGAATGGAACAGTATTGTCTTTAGTGACGAGTCTCGATTTTGTTTAGGCATGCACGATGGTCGTGCCAGGGTTAGAAGGCGACGTGGTGAAAGGAGGAATCCACAGTTTTTTGTTGAAAGACATGTTCATCACACTGTTGGAGTTATGGTTTGGGGTGCTATAGCTTATGGTTCCAGGTCACCTTTAATCTTCATCAGAGGTAACATGAACGCGCAGCGTTATATCCACGAAGTTCTAGAACCCCATCTCTTACCCTATCTTGACACCCTGGCAAATCCAACTTTCCAACAAGATAATGCCCGACCACATGTTGCAAGAGTCACAATAGATTTCTTTCAACATAATGATGTCACATTGTTACCATGGCCACCAAGATCTCCCGACTTATCCCCAATTGAGCACGTGTGGGATATGATGGGTAGGAGATTAGGAGAGTGCTCAATTTGCAACGTCCTCCTCAGACTCTATAAGCACTTCGAGAGGAGTTGGTGGTTGCCTGGAATTATATACCACAGGAGGACATTGACCACCTGATCAGAAGCATGCCTAGGCGCGTTGGAGAATGCGTAGCACATCAGGGTGCATCCACACATTATTAAAGGTCAAAGGGCTTTAAAGCAGTGCAATCATTTTGAAATTTTTATCATTTACTTATTATGCTTCATTAAGTACTTATACAAAATTTTATTAAAATAAAACCATTTAAACTAGGTGTTCGGATTTATATGTCACTTAGTATAGGTGTTGGACTGCTGAGGTTGATTAAAGAGTCCTATGTGCCATTCTAGCACAAAAAATAGACCTGTTGCTGTTCTTGTCTAACCGAAAGTAGTACTTCGGAACATTTAATACAAAAACAGTTTCTACAAGAATTGTAAGTTATAATAAACTAAACGGATTTATATGTCACTTTATATGTGTAATGATATACAGATGACACAGAGATCATGAATAAATAGTCTTCCATCGTTGAACAAAATGTTCTGCGTAATCTTTTTTAGACGGTGGTTAACAAATCCTAGCTATATAATAGGATTTGGAGAGATATTCTAACGGAACTATCAAGCTAACAGTTCAAATATGGTTTATCTTACGCGTACTAGGAAAAGGAAAAGAAAAACTCTGGATCCACTAGCTGAAATACAACATGGCTACGTCATTTATTAAGCATGCTAAAATTGTGACGCTTCGTATACTGACTTTATTCTAACAACTCACTACGCTGTTGCAAGCACAATTTAGGTGTAGCTATTGACAAAACACCTGTTATCTGAAAGCGTTGTGTTTATGTAGCTGCTAAAAGCAAGAAAATAACAAAGCGGAGACACTCCGGAGATTACTGGAAGTCGTGAAAGTAAAATGGAGCGCGCAATCAGGGTTAAAAGACTTTCTTTACCGAGTAGGGATGTTTTAACGCTTGATGGTGACAACAATACGAGAAGAACTCTAACTTTCTACTGCAGTACCTCCCGTACAAATGTATTATTTTATTCTCCGCTACATTCTATATGCAACAATTATAATTCCATAGGAGACAGTTCTGACATTAATTTTGATTGTATCAGTAAGATCGTGTCGAATTTCAGGTACTATTATAATAGCTAGTTCTATTTTTTTTAAATTAGTTTTAGGTATACATTACATGTATGAATTATAAGTAAAGTTACCATGATATTGTCCTTTAATTGGAATAGTTCTGTTGGGCAATAATGTATAAATAAATAAATAAATAAATAAATAAAACATAGTGTTGCGGCTACGGAATAGAAAGAAGTTCTTCCGCCACATCGCTTCCATAAAATCCGCACCACTGATTTATTGACCAAGAAGGGAAACTATAAATGCCTTTAAAGGCTTTGGCCTGAGCTTAGGAAGTATAGCGTAATATATACAGGTTGTAGAATAACCGACTTATGGTTGATCCCAGATTACTTTACCT